CCCCTGGCCTGGCAGACGTGCCTGCTCCCGCAGACAGACTGCCTGACACTGCTGCTTGTGCACACACACTGGCACACCTGCTCCATTAAACAGGCTCCCAGGGACTCCCATATCCAGCCCGGCCTGACGCACGCCCTGAGGCAGCCAGCCGGCCGGCCAGGGACACTGCTGCTCCAGTGAACTCTTTCATGCCTGCCTCAGGCTGTCTGGCTGCAGTCCCCATGCCAAGGCCTGGGAGCATGTCAACACGTGTGTGCCCATCTGCAAGTGTCGCTGTGTGAAATCGGCTCTCTCTGCTCCACAGGGCCGGTGCTATGGGGGCAGGTGCAAAACCAGGGACAGACAGTGCAATGCACTCTGGGGGCGTGGTAAGTGCCTGGCTGAGCTCTCCAGCTGGCCTGGGGGTGCAGAGCTGCAGGGAGATGAGAGAGCGCGTGCACAGGGCAGGGGTGCAGAGCAGGCTGAACGCCAGCGACCAAGGACTCAGCGGCCCCATTGGTGAGGCCCACAGAGCGATAAGTGCAGCGCTGCGCAGTGTGAGGTGGCAGCTCCGGGGTCTGAGGCCTTGTGAGCCCATCTCTGCCATGGGCGCTCTGGGTGCACTGCCCCCGGCAACGTCACTGCCGCCTCTCTCCCAGAGCAGCCCTCTAACCCTCTGCGACAGCCGCAGACAGACTACAGGCTCTCCCTGGGTGCCTGTGTCCCTCCTTGCCTGCTGGCCTCGCTCCCCACATTTCCGTAGAGTCACGTCCAGGTTACCGCACGGTCAGTGAGAGCAGAATCGGGCCCTTTGCTTACTCTCAAGCAAAACCACATCAAACCCTGATTCGCTTCCAGCGATTTCACACTGCAGATCCCCCTGCGGCCGGCTTCTCCTCGGCCAGCAGAGACGCCGCTTGGAAGCCCTCAGTTAAAGGGAACCTGCCAAAGGAAACATCATGGCCCCCATCCTCCTCACACTGTCAGCGCATCAGTGCCAAGGAGGCATGATGCACCTGGCTTCAAACAGGACCCCTGGCACCAGCGTAACGGGTGGCACGGGGTGAGGGCAATGGAGAACCTGGCCCAGATATTTGCAATAAACACTATGGATGTTAAGGGTCAAGGCCCATTGAAATGAGTGAGGCCAGACATCCCTATGGGTTAGTTCTCTTCTTGCCTACGCCCCCATGGACCCCAACAGGACTGGCTGCCCTCCCGTTCCCACCAGTCGGTCCATTGCCTCCCATGCAGCGACACACACCAGTGGAAGAGCCAGGGACCGGCCTGCGGCTGGTCAGACGCTGCCTGGCTGAGCAGTGGTCCCGGCTCGGGCTCTCTGGTGCTCTGCATATCACCCGTCGTACTCACGGCTAGTCCCTCTCCCAGTGCCTCACAGCCTGCCCCGCTCTGCAGAAACCCGGGTGCCACTGGAGTGTGTGGGAAGGAAACGGCCCTGCCGGCCGCACCTGTGACACTGGGGCTGAGCCCCCCACATGGCCTTGTTCATGCTCAGCCACGGGGCTCTGTGAATGCAGCCATTGTGGGACCAGCTATGGTGCTGCACATCTGTGGGCAGTAACCGGGCTACAGCCCAGGGCTGAAGGAAGGCACCTCGGGCAGTTCTGGGGTCTGGGACTCCTGGGTTCTGTTCGTGGCTCCAGCACTGACTCAGCTAACGCTCCCTGCCCCACCGCTAAGGGACGTGTGTGTAAAGCAGGAGCGTGACAGCCGGGTCCTCCCACGTGATCCCACATGGACACGCCTGGCCCACGTGCTCCCGGCTGGGCTCTGCCAGGCAGGCGCTTGGCATTGGCGGGCTGAGCCTGGCCTGTGTGCCAGAGCACATGCCTCTGCTTCCACACCGCCCTGCCTGGGGCACAGGGGGAGGACAGGACCATGTCTGCAGGTAACCCCCTCTCTTGTTCCCCTCCCCCACAGCGGCTGCCGACAGGTTCTGCTACGAGAAGCTGAATGTGGAAGGGACCGAGAGAGGGAACTGTGGGCGCGAGGGCCCAGCCTGGGTGCAGTGCAGCAAGCAGTAAGTGCTGGGGCCCAGTCTGCCAGGTGAGGTGTGGGCATCGCAGCATCCTCTGTCCATGCCAGCTGCTGCCCGCAGCCCCAGTGCACACGGCCCCAGCGTTGGCCTTCCTCCACCTCCTCCCACCCACCCTCCACGCTCTGCCACCATCTGCTCGGCACCTGCTCTGGGCCAGGGGGGAGGGTCTTACCACCACCCCCAGGGAATGCCACCCCCTCTCCTGCCACCAGGCCCAGCCCCTGTAACCAGCCTGCCAGGCCAGCGAGGGCAGCGGGGCGTGGCCACGCGGTGATTGGCAGCTGTCAAACCAAGTGTATTGCTGGTGCTCCTTGTCCTGACCCACTCTCCCGTCCCACAACTGGGCTGGGGCTGGGGCTGGGGCTGGGGCTGGGGCTGGGTTGGGGCGGGAGTGGGTACCCTGGGCCCACCCCTCTGCACTTTGTGTCTGTCTTGCAGAGACGTCCTGTGCGGCTACCTGCTGTGCACCAACATCACGGGCGTGCCGCGGCTGGGCGAGCTCAGCGGGGAGATCACCACGATGACCTTCTACCACCAGAACAGATACGTCGACTGCAGGTGGGCGGGGCTGCCCCGGGCCAGGGCCAACCGCCCGACTTGGCTCGGGACTCAGTGCCTTGGCCCTCCTGGGCCAGGCCAGCTCCCCAGCCCCGGGGGCCTGGTGAGACCAGGGATTGGGGAGCGTCTCATCGCTGCTCCAGGGCAGGGCTGGGGGGTGTCCCAACAGGAAACCCCTGACGCAGGACTGGCCACGGTGAGATCGGCTCCGTTGCCCTCTCCTGGCTCAGCGCATCCCATATGACTCTGATGCCAAGTGACCCCCTCAGTGCATGCTGGGAGCATCTACCCCAGGGCACTGTGGGATGGGGGAAGGGGAGCAGTGGAGCTGGGCTTTGGGAGAACTCCGTTGTAGCCTGTCAGTTCGGCTGCCCCGGAGCCCAGTGTTCCCCGGCAGTTCTCTTCTGTGGTTCTCCGACCCCAATCCTGGGCCCCCTGTGCTGCTCGGCCTCCTGGCTCTGGGCACTGCCAGCTCCTGGCCCCAGGGGCAGACCCCGGAAGCAGGGCCTCAGTTGTCCAGAGCCCCAGTCCCTTCGGTACGTCCCCGAGGGCCCTGGCTCTGGAAGCCCTGGGGTCTCAATCACGCCCTTCAGAGCGAGTGTGCGGCGAGCGAGGAGACAGACTAGGGTATGTGCCCGCTACAGCCGCCCCGCTCGGTGCCAGGGTGCAGAGGCTTCCTACAGCACTGGCAGGGGGGGCGGGGAGGAGTGTCTTCCATCGCTGTCGTTAATCCACCTCCCCGGAAATGGAAACGTTCCGCTGGTGACCTCTGCTCATTGGACTCATATAACAGGCTCCTACCCACAGACGCTTCCCCCTCACAGCTCGCTGGGACCCGGCACTGGCCTGAGCTCAGCGCCCTGGCCTGGGCCCGCCGGCGAAGCGGGGTTTGGCCAGCGTCTGTGGGCAGGCAGCTGTTCTCGCATGGCAGTGGGGCCGTTTCTGCTGCGGTGCGGAGAGCTGTTCAGAGGCAGTGCCCTGGTGGCATCAGGCAGCGCTGCTGGCCCTGCCGAGCTCTGCAATAACTCCACCGCAGAGGCTCCGATCCTCCCAGGAGGCTGTGGTGCAGGATGGGGTTCACGATTGACACAGATCCGTCCCCAGCCTGCTCCCCCATTGGGCCTTGGGGCATGTTAGCCACCCCCTGGGGCATGGACAGTGTCACCTGCCCCCTCCCTCAGCTGCTCTTCCCCTCCCCAGAGGTGGGCACGTCCAGCTGGTGGACGGCTCGGATCTGAGCTACGTGGAGGACGGCACGCCCTGCGGCCCCAGCATGCTGTGTCTTGACCACAAATGCCTTCCCGCGGCAGCCTTCAATTTCAGCGCCTGCCCTAGCAGCTGGGACGGGATGATCTGCTTTGACCATGGGGTGAGTCCTTGCTGGGGGCTGGGACGTGCCAGGCCTCCCTCTGCCCACAAGGAGAAGCTCTGCGGGGCAGGCGGCCTCACAGCATGGGAGCACAGAGGTGACACCTTGCCCAGGGGCACCCAGCGTCTCCCACCTTCACTACCTGATTTCCACCCCGCAGGGAGCAGCTGGTCTCCTTCCTGTGCTGAGCTCTGGCCTCCCCCTCTCCTGCGCTCCGAGGTGCATGCACGTTGCTGCCTGAGGGGGGCGCTGCCTGGACACCGTGAATCGCCTGCTCCTGGCGCTGCCCCAGGGCAGTGGATTAGACTGATTGGATGGCTAGCATGGGGCAGGGGGGGAACCCTGGTGGGAGGAGCCTGGGCTGTGGAAGAGACCGCAGCCCCACTGCTCAGGGCTCTCAGGCTGTGGGGTGTTCCCTGGGGAGCCCAGCATTGAGGAGCAGAGCTGCCGAAGGCCAGAGCGCCCCCATCGCAGCCCCAGGGAGGCCCCATGGCCCGGCCAGCACAGGGCCTGGCCGGGGACGGACTCGACTCCCTGCAGTGCTCACCCGCCTCCCGTTCCTTTGCCTCAGGTCTGCAGCAACGAGGGCAAGTGCATCTGCCAGGCGGACTGGACGGGGAAGGACTGCAGCGTCTACGACCCCATCCCGGAGCCCAGGCCCACCGGCGAAACCGAGAGATACAAGGGTCCGTGTCCCGCAGCTGCCAGCCCCCGCCTCCCTGCGTGGGCCAGGCGGTGTGAACCCAGACGTGGAGCCCTGCCCAGAACCGTGGTCCCCCTCCCTTAGAGCCGTGACACATCCCCGCCCCCCTCCCTGCCCAGCCTGATCCCACTCCAGTCCTGCAACCCAGCACTGCCCCAGGAGAACTCGCCCCCACAGATCCCCTGCCCAGGAACACACCCCCTGGGATCCCCTGCCCGGGAACACACTCCCTCCTCCCCCCGCCCCCCCGGGATCCCTTGCCCAGGAACCCCCCCACCCCACCCATGCTCCTTTTCCCCCCACACACACACGAGCCCCCGAACCCATGCCAGGAGCCGTCCCCCTCCCCTGCAAGCCATGGCACCATGTGCCGCAGGACAGCTGGGCCAGTGGGTCAAGGCTGGGGCTGCTGTCTCCGGAGCTCCCTGGCCGCAGCCCACCCAGCTCTCCCCGTAGATCCAAATTCCTGTCGCTCACTCCGCTCCACCCACCCAGTCTGTCGGGCGGGCTTGGGGGGTCCCAGCTAGAGGGGCACCTCCACAGGAGAGCCTGGGGCTGTGGCTTGCCCCCGAGTCTAGAGCCACGAGCTATTGCTGGGGTCCCGGAGGAGCGGGAAGGCCCCGCTGCAGAGCCCGCAGGGCCATGGCTGGGCTTACAAAGGGTGTGGGCCAGGAAGCCAGGAGAGCGCCCCCTGCTGACTGAAGCCACCTGGTGGAATCCTTCTGCCCTGCTGGCTGCAGGGAGCCAGGGTGGTGTGGACAGGCCGAGGAACAGCAGAGCTGGGCTCTGGTCAGGGCGCCTCCGTGAGTGGCCGGGCGTCCGGGCTTTGGATGGGATTGGGGGGTCCATTTGCTGAGCCCTCAGGGTGGGGGTGGGACCCTGTGGTGCCCGTTCCCCATGGTCCCTCCTAGGGTGGCCCCTGGCATTGCAGAGAAACTGATCTTGTGCCAGGCTCGCCATGGCACCCCTCGCTCCTGGCTCAGCGTCCACAGGGGGCAAAGCTACCGCAGAGTCCGGGCCGTGCCCTGCCTGCCCCATGCCCCTCCCAAAGCCAGTGCCCACACCCTGCACCTGACCTGAGCTCTCCTCCCCTCTCTCTGTTGCAGGTCCCAGCGGCACCAACATCATTATCGGCTCCATTGCAGGCGCCGTGCTGGTGGCGGCCATTGTCCTGGGGGGAACTGGCTGGGGATTTAAGTAAGCGAACGCCGCGTGCCTCTTCCCGAGTGCATCCTTCTCCCGGGCCGGGGCTGGGCACCGGGCCACAGCCCCTGCCCTGCTCAGAGGCTGCGGGAGGGAGGCATTTCCCAGGCCAGGGCAGCCCTTGCACTCCATGGGCTTGGCCAGTCTGACCCAGCCGTGGGCAGGAAGCTGTGGGGCAGTACGGCTCCTGGCGGGAGGGGACTGGGCATGAGGGGGGCGCCCCACACTGCTAATCCCCGGCCCTGTCCTCTGGGAGTTGCCCCCTAGCTGGGCTCAGGAAGGGGAGTGAGGTACCACAGGGCTTCCCCCAGCCTGAGTGCAAGCTCTGGGGGCACTCTGCTCTCACGCCGCAATGCACGTCACGCCGGGGGTTTGCCCGGGGCCCTGCCAGCCAGGAGGGCTGCTGCCCCCCCTGCCCCCCTCCCAGCTGTTGCTGTTTGGCTGCCCCACTCCTGGTGTGTGGTCTGCTGAGTGCGGCTGACGGTCCCAGCCCTGCTGCTGGGGGGGTCTGTGCACGGGGGAGCCGCAGGGCGGAGCAGCTGGTATCCAGGCTCGGCGCTTGGGGCAGCACCAGCGCTGGGCTGAGCAAGAGCACGGCTTTCCGGAGGGGGGGCGCGCTCAGTGGAGAGGCTCCTGGGGCTGGAGAATGCGCCATGGCCCACGAGCAGAGGCTGCGATGCCCCCTCCCTGGGAAAACCTGCCCCGCATTTCCCTCTCCACGCCAGGCCCCTGCACTGGCCCAGTGCGGCCCTGCTGCCCGGTGTCACGTTCTCGCCCCCTCCCGCACTGGTGCTGCCCAGAGATGCACCCAAAACACTTGGCAGAAAGGGGGGGCACCCACTGGCAGGGGGCAGCCCCTCCGCCCTAGTGGGGCTGAGATTTTCCCTAGCACCAGGGCCAGACTTTTCAGCCCCCAGCAGCCCCCAAAGTGAGCCCTGCCTGGCTAGCCCAAGCCCAGCGCACCATGCCAGGCCTGCAAAGCCCTGGGGCTGGCTCCTGGCACTCAGCCACATGCCACCCAGAGCGGGGCCCTGGCGGAGTCGGGGCAGAGCCGGGCAGGATCAGACACACCAAGCAGGGCTGCCCCCGGAGGCCTCGCTAACCGTCCCCCTCTCTCTGTCCTCTCTCCTCGCCTCGCCAGGAACATCCGGAGAGGAAGGTATGACCCGGCTCAGCCGGGGCTGGGCTAGCCCCCATCACTCATCTGTCACCCATCACCATCCCATCCCCTCCCCTCGCTCGGCCCCGGTTGTTGGGACGCTACCGTCGCCTCCTGCTGGTTGCTGCGCCTGCCTGCCTGGAGCCTGCTGCACAGGCCATGACCATCGCTGCTCCTCCTCCATGGGGCTGTGTCCCCCTCCCTGGGCGGAGGCCTGGGGGCTCTCTCGGGCCGGCGAGAGGGTGATGGCAGGAGAGCCCTTCCACTGCCAGTGTGTCCTGGGGGCTCGGGCTGGGCTGGGCCGGAGCGGCAGGGAGTGCAGGGGCAGGCAGCAGAGGTTGGGCCATCCAGCCTGGCCCCTTGCTGCCAGCAGCACCTGACCTGCTGGGGGCACTCTGCCCAGGGGCCAGGCCCGGCTGGACCCCGCACTAGCAGCGGCTCCAGTGGTCAGCTGGTTGGCAGCTGATGCTCTCCCTCTGTCGGCTCCCAACGCTGCGCCCCATTCACACGGCGAGGTGCCCACGCCAGCCCTGCCCAGCGTTTGCAGGGAGCAGAACAGCCTGCTCCTTGGGCACCCCAGGGCAGGGACTGGGTGGGTGGGTGTGGGATCGTGCCCCTGATGTGAACCTCCCGCCACCTGTCACTGTCTGTGTGTCCATCTCGTCGCCCCCTGGGGCCGTGCCCGTCTTTGCGCCTGCGTCACTCACCGTCCCTGGGGAGCTTGCTGCTGAGGGGCAGCCCGCCTACCGCAGGGCACTGCCCCCCCCCATGGGGCGGAGGTGGGGAAGCAGGGCACTGCCCCCCCCCGTGGGGCGGAGGTGGGGAAGCAGGGTCACTAGCCTAGAGGCCTGAGCTATCCCGGGCTAGGTGTCCCCGATGGCTGCTGTTCCTCAGGGTAGCGGGCATTAGGGCACCCCGGGCATGTGTGGATGGCCCAGGGCAGGGCCAGGCCAGTGCCTCAACGCGTGTGCGCTCCAGTTGGGCTTGGGCCTGGCCATGGCCCACGGAGGCTCTGACGCGAGGTGGCCAGTTCAAATCCCACCCTGGCCCGTTCGCAGCAGGTTCCTGTTCTGGGCCCACGCCAGAGGCAGAGCTTGGGGCCCATCAGGCGCTCGGGGGGCCGGGCAGTGGAGACAGCGTGCAGGTTGCGGGGGGGCTGGCCGGCAGAGGCCATTGAGCCAGCACCCCCACCAGCCGGCTCTTTGCACCCGGAGTGGCAGAGCCTGGGCCTGCAGCAGTGGGGCCAAGAGTGTCCCAGCCAGTGGGGGGGCAAGAGCACAGCGCCTGCCCAGCCCCCCAGTGCCGCCCCGTCCCCCCAGCTGGCGCATTGCTCCGGCAGGTGGGCCCCAGACATGCTCCCCCTGTAGTGCTCAGACAAGTCTTGGGGTTCCCAGGTGAGGCCCAAGCACCCCAGGCCTGGGTAGGCATCCGGGCCCTGTGCGACTCCCTTGGTTTGGGACTAACCAGCCCCTGATGCTGTGTCTGCTCTGGCTGTTGGACCGCGCTGGGGTCACCCGCATCTCCCGCACGCCGGTGCCAGCGCTAACATGCCCCTCGCTTCTGTGTTGCAGGTCGGGAGGGGCCTAGCCCGGCCACCCCCTTCTGGTGGCTCTCTGCTGCCCTTCCACAGGGGAGGGGAGAAATCTCCTAAAAACCAAATCAGCCCCAAATAATGATGTGACGAGAGGGTGAACAATCAGTGACGTCTTCCGCTGCTGCCTGGCACCTGGCGTGGCCCTGGCTGCACCGGGCGAGGCCGGGAGGGGGCCACGCAGCCTTGCACTGGAGGGACCCAGATGGCACAGACTCTGCGTGGACCCCGTAGCCTTGTGCCCAGCTGGCCAAGTGCTCTCTGTCTCCTTGACAGGCCGGCTGCCGCCCGTCCCTGCCTGAATGTAGCTTCCACCCCCACCGCACTGTACTATCACCAATGAATGTACCCGCTCGCCGCCCCACAGACCACGGCACGCCACCCACCTGCTGCCCGCGGGCAGACACGCTCACTTTCCTGTTGCGCGGAGTCTGGGTGGCACAGCTAACAGCGGGCAAAGGAGCGCAGGGGACAGGCGAGGAGCCGGCTGGAATGGAGTCAGAGCCACCCCGTGATCTAGGGGCTGCCTGGGCTCCCATCCTTCACGTGGCCTGGCCTCAGTGCGTCTCCACCATGACCCATTGCCCGCCCCAGCTGCTGGGGGCTTGGTGCCCGGCCGTGCCGATGGGGCTGGGATTCTGCCAGGGATATTTTTTAATGCAAAGCAACACAATGAATGTAGCCGGGGGGCAGCATGGAGCTGGGTGTTTGCTGGGGGCGGCAGGGAGAGGGTTTGGACATTGGTCTCACGGCGCCCGCTCACCCCACCCAACGGCTGCAAACCAGTGGGGAGGTGAAGATACACCTGTGCCTGGCCTCCAGCTCAAACCTGCCCAGCCCCATCAACTCAGGGGTCTGCTCCCATGGGCGCCCAGCGCCTCCCCTTCCCCCCAGGAACAGGGACCAAGCCCACAGGCAAACCAAACCCAAACTGCCATGGAGAGCCCAGGTGGGGTGGGCACGGTGTGAATGGCCCAGCATCTGCGCCGGTAAGCGCCAAAGCTGCTCTCGCACCAACACACGCTGGGCCAATCCCAGCGATCCCCTCCCCCACCTCGTCTCTCTAACTCCTGGGCCCAACCCGGCTACACCACTGCCGACAAACTGCCACCGGCCACAACCAGCCCTGGGCTGACAGCCCATGCTCTGCACCGCTGGGTTCCTCTGGCCCGTCCACCACTACATCCCACCCTCTCTCAGGCTCCTGTGCCCAACTGCGAGTCAGGACTCCTGGGTTCTCAGCCAGTGACTCACTGTGCAGCCTCAGGCAAATCGCTTCCCCTTCCCGTGCCTCAGTTTCCCCATCGGACGCATAGGTGTGGTGCTGCTGTGCTGGCTTTGCCTGTCACTGCCCAGGGCCCTCTCTCCATTACAGTCATTCCTCTGAGCCCAAGCGCCCACCGCTTCAGCCCCTGCTCCTGGGCGGGGAGCAGTGAGGCTGGAGGCCCAGCCAGGCTCCCCATCCCACGCCCTGCAGGCACAGCTCTTTCCAAGCCAGGGATGGCCTGTGCGGGCGGGGCCCTGGCATTGCAGGCTGTGAGGTTAGCAGTGAAGCAGGCCGGGGGGGGACATCAGCCAGGGATGAGCTTCTGCTGCTAGGGCCGGGAACCTGCCTCCTCCCTGCTCCCTCTGGGAGAAAATGCCAGACAGTGAATTGCCTCCTGAGCAGGTCCATGGGCAGCCAACACCTCCGCAGGGCCCCTAGGGCCTCAGACCCCTTGGAGCCAGTGTTCCCCCAGCCCAGCCAGGCCCTTCGCAGCCGCTGCTCTGGCCACAGGAGAACCCCACGGGAGCAGCCCTGCAAAGTTCCTCGCCCTCACTGGCCCCTGGAACGGGGCTTGCTTGGCTTGGCAAGTGGAGTCTGGTGGGGTTTCCAGCCCCAGCCCCAACCCCAGCGTGCGGCTGGTGGCTTTGGGTACAATAACCAGATAATAGCCGAGGAGGGCTGTGACCCCATGCAGCAGGGCTGAGCGGAGTGCGCTCCATTCCCCAGAGCCCTGGCCAGCCCCACCAGCCCAAACCGCCCCCTGCACACGCTCCACAGCCTGTGCTGGCCTCACCTGCGTAAGGGCTCGAGCTGCCTTTGCTGGCCCCCAAAGGCCGAGCTCTGCCGCAGAAGGGGCCTTCGCCTGGGCGGGTGAGCGAGGGGCTCACACAGTGACAGCTGGGGCTGCGGCAGGGGGCAGATGCTGCCAACCACTGATGGCCCTTTGGCCTGGGGCAGCCTGGCCCTAGTAAAAGCCAGGCCTCCTCCCAGCTGGACAGGGGGTTGCTCGTGAGTTGGTTCTAGCTGGCAGGGCACCCTGCTCTCCGCGGCGGGCATTGCATTTCCCATGAGCTTGGCCTGGGGAGGTTTTACTTACAGCATTAAAAAAAAAATCACTTTGTTCTGCTCTCAGTTGTGCTGGTGTGAAGGGGGCCTAAGCACCATAGACGTCAGTGGGGTAACGCCAGTTTTACACCACCCAGCAGGATCTGGCCCAGAAATAGTGTGTTGCCGCCTCTGTTTGGTGTAGAAGTCCCACTCCTCCATGTGGCTTTCTGTGGCCTGGCTGGTTTAGGGATCTGTACGTGGGGCCAATCACCACAGCAAGCCCCTGCTCTGAGGCCAGAACGGTTCATTCCAGACACAGCCCAGTCAGCACATCTGGCCCAAATGTTCAGCCGTAGGAGCCTTGAGGTTGGTTCCTAAAGCCATAGTGAGGTGCCTAAAACGGGCTGATTATCAAGCGTGCAGAGCACCCCCGGCTCCCACTGCAGCCAGCGGGGACTCAGCACCACTGGACGGAGACTCCGTTTATTTTGCTGCTTAACTTGAAGCTCCCAACTTTTCACATGAGGGCGCATTGGAACAGTGTCCTCAGGAACCAGCTACCTCAGCTCAATGCGAACCGCAGAGGTTAAAGTCAGCCTGCTTCCAGGCTCTTCATCTCAGGCCATTGGGACAGTGAAACGCGGCGCCTCCGGCTGGGCTGCAGCCACAGCACACAGCCAGTTAATTCAGCGGGGTCGGGGGGGGGGGGTTCTTTTGGGGAAAAAAAAGTTCTTGGAAATGTAACCCTTCTGCCCATCTGAGCTGGCACCAACAAGGGCCGGGTTCAGTATCTAGGGGTTCTGTTTCCAATAACACAATGCAAAACCGGCTCGAGCCCCCACCCAGTGACCTGGGACAATTAGAGGCACCTGGGGGATGGTATGTAAGAGGCAATACTTCCCCTCTTGCAAGCACAGAATCTGAGTGTAGCAAAATCCTTTTAATAAAGGAGGGAAACAATGCAGCATTATGTTGGGGAAACACCACAAACAGGATTCATAACACAAACCATGAGCAAAAGACACACCCTCCCCCCCAAGTAAGTTTGGCAGTATCCTTTTCCCCTCATGGTCTTAAGTCCAACAACCCAAAAGTCTCTGTCCCTGGTCAGTGCAGCCCCAGAGTTCAAAAGTTTATCTGCATAGTTTTACCTCTCAGCCTGGGAGGGTGGGGGTGTGCAGCGGTGTTAAGGGGCACCTTACATGGTCCGAGGCTGACTATCCTGCCTCTCCATGGGGTTCTGCTGCAGCCTTCACCACAAGCCACTCCACCAGCTGCTCTACTCCACCAAGTGTCCCACAAGCCACTCCTGCCATCCTGTAAACTACTCTACTCTACCAGCTGCTCAACAACATACCTTCAGCCCCCCCCACAGCACTCAGTGATTCTAGCTTGTAGTAGGGGAGCCTCAGTGCTGGTACACTATTGGTCCAAAGTGACTTCAGCTCAGCAACCTGTAACTAGTCTCCTAATAGAATTATTATTAGCTCTCCTATTCCACAATACAGCAAGGAAAAGTCACAATTGGCATTCCAAACCCTCAAAAAGTAACTAAGCTATCCAATACAACGTTCTCCTTCCTGCAATTCACTGGGTGCTGGAACCCATGTCCCTTGTCTAGCGAGTGCTACTTAGTTGATGATGAGTCCCTCTGTCATAAAACCGTTTTATTGTTCTTGAGTCACATAATCAGGGTAACAACACTTTATTCTTCCTGCACCAATAACAGAGAAACTGGGGATGCCACAGCAGCCCAAGTGACATTTGGGCTGCTGTGGGCTCATGCCAGGCGGGTGGGTGTGCCTATGCAAATAAGATCAGCCCCTGAAGTTCTTTTCCACAACTCACCATAATTCACCACCAGATGTCAGGGTAGAGCTCATCCTGACTCTGCTTACAGAAACATTTGAAAAACCGAAACTTGAGGCCACGTTTGCTGGGGGGGGCAAAGCCTTGCAGTGTTTGCAAACCCAAGGGCAGGATGAGGGTGCAGAACCAGACAGTGAAACTGACCTGACCGAAGGTAAAACTGCCCAGTCTCTATGTACTGTCAGCGCAATGACAGAAAGCAGTAAACCAGCAGCGGGGGGCGGGGGCAGGAGGAAATGTGGGGTGTTAAAATCCAGTTGGGTTGTTAGTACCACAGGGCAAACAACGCGATCCCAACATGGGGGTGATGGTGTCCCTGCTTCAGTGCTTTGAGTCAGGAGTTAAGCTACACAGCCCCAAATCCTGACCTCAGCTATGGGCCTACCACTCGGCTGATCACCTGGGGCTGAAGGGAGAATGTAGGCCAGAGATCTGTGCTCAGAGCAGCCATCTTGTTGCCAGATGGCCTTATTGCATACACACAGCAATGGGGCAGATCCTGCCGTCACCCAGTAACGGGACAGGTCCTGCGGTCATCCAGCAATGAGGCAGATCCTGCCGTTGCCTGGCAACGGGGCAGGTCCTGCCGTCACCCGGCAACGGGGCAGGTCCTGCCGTCACCCAGCAACGGGGCAGGTCCTGCCATCGCCCGGCAATGGGGCAGATCCTGCCATTGCCTGGCAACGGGGTGGGTCCTGCCATCACCCATCTGCTGAGCAGCCAACCCAAGATCCTGGAGGTACAAAACTGGTATAAAGCCTCCTACTGCCACCTCCTGTGCTGCCCTTCTGGCCTCAATTTCCACCAGAAGCCAGAGCTTCTCCGTGGCTGGACGTGGGCTCGGCCATGGGACCTGCACCCTGAAGGCCGTGACCTTTCCATGGCCCAGCAGCAGGGAGGCCTGGCAGCTCGTCAGACAGATGTGGCTGCACTTCCTTGCCCTGCGCTCAGCTGTAGACTCCTCTGGGGGCCTACGTGACCCTTAGCATGGTCACCTGGGGCCACCTTGTTCCCTGCCCTGAGCCGGTGCAGAGGGTTTGGGTGGCCCGGCCTAGGTTAGTGACTAGGGCTAAGGCAGCTGGAGGGACGGGCCCCCAGCACAGGCTGGGAGGCAGCAGCTACCCCAGCCTTTGACAATGGAGACCCGGGAGTTTCAGAGGCCAAGTGGTGCTTATGGACCAATATGCCCCAAAGTGGCTGGTGCCACCTGTGGCCATGCACCCCCGCCCCCGGCCTGCACTGCTGGTTCCTGGACAAAACCAGGGTTCCCTGTTCCGTGCCAGAGGTTCGTACCCTGGCAGCAAAATGGCACCTGATTGTAGCAGCATTGCCGGCCCAGAGCCAGGTCACGTCTCCAGGGCAGGACGCCCCCGTGCACTGCTGTGGTGATGTCTTGCACAGATTGTGGGGGGGCTGGGTGGTGTACGGCCATGGGGGTGGGACTGCACCACAGGGGGAGGGGCTAACAGACACCATGCTCACCGGGAGCAATCTGAATCCTTTAACATTACCCAGGAGCAGCCCCCGAACTGCCAGGCGTCCAGCTAGAGCATGAGGTAGAGGGAGCCCCTCCCCCCCGATCCCCTGCACCTGCCAGGTTGGAAGCCCTGCCCCCGAAGGTCATTTCCATAGCTGACCTCCCCCCCCCCGTGTCTTGGGCCCACCGGCCACCCTGCTTCCCCACACTCTTTGGGGCTCCCAGAGCCCGGCAGAGGGGCCCAGCGGGGCTGGTGCACCAGGGCTGGTGTGGAGATTTTTAAGGGGCTCAGTGCGTACCCCATGTGGATGCTGGACATCCCCATTGTCCGGCATTGCACATGCAGACGGCTGAAGGCCGGGATCGTGGGGGGTTCTGGGAGGGTCAGGATCATGGGGAGGAGGTGATGAGAAGCTTCCCTGGATTCTTCAAATGTCATTCCCAGTAAAATGTCTTTGAAAAACGATGTCCCTTTGCTCAGAAGCCGCTGAACCCACATTTTAGCCCAAGCAGGGGCTCTGGCTCCGGTTCCAAGGCAGCCGGGGCTGAAGGCAAAACTCCTGCCAGAGCCGAGGTTACTGCACTAGCATTCGTGTGGCACCGTGGGGGAGAAAATGGAACAAATCTGTGGGCACCTAATATTACTCTGCTGCATGCCCCGGCTGCTCAGAACGCCATCCTCCTGCTTCAAAAAACCTCAGCTAAAGGAGAATCTCCACTAGCAGTATAGGCCCTATGATATGCAGCTATGCAGTTCCAATTCAATCCAGCAGAGGGCAGCATTGCACACGCCCCCCTCGCACACTCTAGTGCACACAGGCCGGTGACAGAGGTCTAGCACTAGCACTGCACACGTGGTGCTTAGCCTCCCTGGGTGCTGAGCTCCAACCCATGGCTGGGTTCACAGCACCGGATACGTAAACCTGAGCCTGAAGCACCCAGCCCATGCCCAGCACGGCGAAGGACAGGCCAGCTTCCAGCATACTCCAGGGGCCCCACGGGCTGGACTGCGCACTTGCTCCTGTTGCCGAACCAAGGCAGGAGACGGCAGCTGCCTGGGTGTGTCAGCCACTCCTGAGCCGAGCAGGAAGGAGAGCGGAGCTTTAGCCCATGGGCAGGGCCCCAGAGCAGCTCAGGTGAGTCACGCCCCATAAGTCAGAGCCAAGCTCGGCGCGCTGCTCTGGGCGGGAGGGGTGCGCCGTCCGCTCGCAGCTCCAAGGGAGCGGGGCAGGTGGCAGAGTAACCGCAAGGTCAGCTAAGGCCATAGCCAAAGTGCCCGGAATCACTGTTCCTCCAGAGAGACCAGCTGACCCCTGCCGTCCCTGCTAGCCCTGCGATTCCGGGGCCTCGAACGCGCTGCTGGCCCCAAGCGATCCAGGCCAGGGCTGGTGGGGGATCCCGCCTTGCATAGCACAAGCCGGAACCGTCAGTCTGGCAGCTGCCCAACAACCTCCATAACGAACCCCCTTGGTGCCCCGTCTCCTCCTTTTTATCCCATCGGGCAGAGGTTTGCAAACGGACGGGCAGGAGGAACGTTCGGGGAGGAGCAGGGGCGAGAGGCGGCTTGGGCCAGCCCCCATGGGGGGCAGGGAAGGAGCACCACCTCCTCCCTCTGATTCACTTCAGTGGACCCCCCAACCTGTGGGTCAGCATCTGCCAAGTTCCACTCCCAGCAGTCCCCGCGCCCAGCACTGACTCTGCCCCCAGAGACCATTGCACACGCCCTC